GGCTATTCCTTCTGCAATCTGGTGTCTCACAAAAGCTTGAGGCAGAGTTGACAATTACCTTGGGGTTTCAAAAGCCTCCTTCGATGAGCTCCAACGAACGACTGGAAAGCCGCTCGCGTCCAACCGCCGTGACGTCTCGTGCTTGCTTTCGAATGTGTTCGAACATGAACTGTTCAATTTCGGGATTCTCGCGGAAAAAAAATACATACCGCAATTTCGTGGCATTTTTAAGCCACATAGGTGTCCAGGAGGTAAGAATTATCTCGCAAGGCCCTCAAGATTATGAATTGTACTAAGCAATTTTACTTGCTTCACATCAAAACTTGGATTGCTTTGAATTTCGTTGCAGGGGAATATATGAGTGTTTTCATGGATGAATACCCTGCTGAGGAGCAGAACATGTCCCATTGAGGTCAAAAGAACCCATCCCGTCAAATTTTGCACTGGATGTTTCAGCAGAAGATTAATGTTGAACCTGAAGGCCCGAATCGACAGAGGGATAGGTTGGGATTCAGACACATTTCCGAACCCAACTCCAGTTCTTATACATACAATTGCAATATTGTAGGGAGAAATGAATGACGGCTTTGTGCCAACATTTAAATCAAGCTTGAAATTGCTGGTTCATAGCTGAAGAAAGATCTATCAATCTACATGGGCCGAGCCATAAGAGCAAATACGAGACTACACTGTTGGACTTCAATCGGACACAGGCTGTTCCAATGATGTTGGAATATAAGATTGAAGTTGAATGGGATGTACTCAGAACACCCAATGTGAACTTGCTCTTGCCGTGCTGGATCGCAGAAAATTAACCCGGGTATTTCCGTGCTAGGGCCGGGCTAGGGACACTTTGCATTGGTTGCCTTTTCTAGTGGTTGTGGTGTCCATCCTCAAATTTCGGTGGATTGGTGGAGGTCCTTTGTTCGAGTCTGCCATTGGGAACCTTTTCAATATCTCACTCGATGAACACAGATTTGAACACAGATATTTTGGTTGAACGACTGATTAGCAGAACGGAAAGCTAGGTGTTGAACAGAATGTAGTCCTGTTAAATCAGAGCCCGATGCTCTTCAATGACACAGCTATCCCTCAATGTCTGAATGCGACCATAACTGTCTAATACCACCCTATTTGCCTGCCCCGAGCCCGATTAATCGAGCACTGATTAAGTAGGTTTATGTGTTGAGAAAGCGATTGATTAATCAAACTTGAAATAGATTCTTTGCTCACGGAAACCCCACAGCAATATTTTGAACCGGGCTAGTGAATTGTACCGAATTCCCTGCTGGCGGGAAGCGCACAGCACTATTTTGAACTTTTTGGCCGCCAGAAAGCTTAAATACGGTAAGGCTTCCCTTACCCAACCAAACAGCGCCCAATTGCATTCGATTGAGCACCGGGAACTGTTCAACGCTCGAGCCCAGCTGTTTGCATTTGCGATTGATGACTCGGTGAATTGCATTGAATCCCTTGCTCGCGAGAAGCCTGTAGCAAGATTTTGAACTAGGTGCTTGAGTTCTTCGTCATTGTGCGTGACCCTAGAGCCGGACATGATGAGCGCCGTGAAGGAGCAGAGGCAAAATCGCGTCGCCGTCGGGACCGCATTGATTGGAGGCTCGGATATGCTGAATTAAAAACGCGCAATTTGGCCGGCAGCGTACTCTGTGCTTCTCCTTCTCCTTCGTCTCGCGCTCCTGATCCCTCCGTTGCATTTAATCCGCCTTGTCCTGCACCAACTGTTCGCGTTCTTCAGTCATGCCGTCAGGCCAAAGGAGGGGGTATATTTTGACATCAAAACGGCTCTGGAGGCTCCAAAAACCCCGTTTTCTTTTTTCTACAATGCTGGAATCCGCTTAGTTTCGAGCCTCCGCGTCGCTGTAGATGGTTCAAAATTTCTGGCGCTGGCTGGTTCCCGAGATCTACCTCTTCAAATCGTCGTTGATTTACTCTATGGGCCGGACAGGCACATTTGGTGGTGACTGGAGACCTAGCGAAATCCAGAAATGAGCGAGATATGACCCGGCCACGGATCAAGCCTTTACATGTACTCGAGCAGCTAGCTTCTGCGAAAGAACAAGCTAGTGTCGAAGGCGAAAACTAAACAAGGCTACCATGAATTCTATGAGATCTTGGATCTTGTATTCTCCACCTGACGCAATAGAGATGCATTGAATTTCAAATGGTTGCCATTTTGAAAAGTGTGACCTGGTGCAATAGAGGTGCATTCAAAGGGCTGGCATTTTGAAAAGCATGACCTGACACAATAGAGGTGCATTCAAATAGCTGGCATTTTGAAAACTATGACCAGGTGTAATAGAGGTGCATTCAAATGGCTGGCATTTTGAAAAGCATGACCTGATGCAATAGAGATGCATTCAATTTCAAATGGCTGCCATTTTGAAAAGCATGACCTGACACAATAGAGTGCATTCAAATGGCTGGACTTCTGAAAAGCATGGCCTGGTGCAATGCATTCACATGGCTGCCATTTTGAAAAGCATGACCTGACACAATAGAGCTGCATTCAAGGGGCTGGCATTTTGAAAAGCATGACCTGACTCAATAGAAGTGCATTCAAATGGCTGCCACTTTGAAAAGCATGACCTGACACAATAGAGCTGCATTCAAATGGCTGCCATTTCGAAAGCATGACCTGGCGCAATGGAGGTGCATTCAAATGGCAGGCATTTTAAAAAGCATGACCAGATGCAATAGAGCTGCATTCAAATGGCGGCCATTTTGAACAGTGTGACCTGGAGCGGTAGAGGTGCATTCAAAGGGCTGGCATTTTGAAAAGCATGACCTGACACAATAGAGGTGCATTCAAATGGCTGGCATTTTGAAAGCTATGACCAGGTGTAATAGAGGTGCATTCAAATGGCTGGCATTTTGAAAAGCATGACCTGATGCAATGCATTCACATGGCTGCCATTTTGAAAAGCATGACCTGATGCAAGCATGACCTGACACAATAGAGTGCATTCAAATGGCTGGACTTCTGAAAAGCATGGCCTGGTGCAATGCATTCACATGGCTGCCATTTTGAAAAGCATGACCTGACGCAATAGAGCTGCATTCACATGGCTGGGGGCATTTTGAAAAGTATGACCTGATGCAATAGAGCTGCATTCAAGGGGCTGGCATTTTGAAAGCATGACCTGACACAATAGAGGTGCATTCAAATGGCTGCCATTTCGAAAAGCATGACCTGGCACAATGGAGGTGCATTCAAATGGCAGGCATTTTGAAAAGCATGACCTGATGCAATAGAGCTGCATTCAAATGGCTGCCATTTTGAAAAGCATGACCTGGCACAATGGAGGTGAATCAATCAGTCTCGTTATTTTCGGGAACAGCTGTAAAATATTGGCAACGTTCAGGACCTGGAAAGCATGAGTAAAGGAAAAATTTCTTATAAATAGCATTTGTTGACACAACCTGGACCACCCTCAAATACAATCAGCCGGAGTCACGAAATCTCATTCTGGTTGATCATCAATCACCGGTGATTGTAGACCCTCCCCATGGTGTGTTGCATCTTTGAATATAAGTTCTATGGAATGATGTCTCCCCCCAGAGGCTATGCATTACTTGACCACGAGGTGGATCGAGATGTAAATATTCTTGTCTATGCAGTCGAAAAGTAGACCTTGCTCCTCACAGACTTGTATTTTTGTTTTTCTTCCTTCTACACATTATCTTTGTTCAAGTGCCCTCGTTTTTGCTCCGTGAATGTGGAGCTTGAATCGGAATTTACACGCTAGTCTGTTGCACATTTGACGGATTTTTAGTCCTGGAAACATGTTTAATCAGTGGTTAATCTTGCCCGTTTATTGTTGATTAAACCCGTCGCCGGGAGTCTGGCTTGAATGAACCTATATTACACATAATCTGTGAGCTCCTTGGCTCAGTTGGATTGGCGTTGCACCGTACTGTTTGGGCTCATAAACAAGTCGTGGGTTCAATTCTTAGTGAGTGCTGTTTTTGCAACTCATTATAGGTTTCACCGTCATTAAACACCTGCTTAAACACTGATTAAACACCCTGGCATCCCACCACCATTTGCTCCCTTGAACGCTAAACCCGATGAGTTTAATCCGGTGTTTAAACTGGAATTTACGTCTAGACACAATTTGTATAAGCAAACTTGCTAGGGTTACTGTTTTAGTCGACTTCGTTTACCCTGGGATTTCAAGCAATCCTCCACCCCTCCAGAATATTCCCTCAATCGCATGATTATCGCGCCTCACAACCGATGTCTTCCAAGTCATTGAGGATGTGTCGGGGAACATGAGCGGCGGTCTACGTGTGTACTACAGCGAGGACAAGATAATCCAGGAAGCAAGGCACCAGAGGTATGGGTTGTGTCGGGGCTAATGGCAGTGGAAAATCAACTCTGATAAAGCTGTTTGCGAGAATTTGTGACGCGGAGGTGGGCGCCATCCTCGTCGATGGTTTGTCTATTCAGAACTACCGCATTTGAGAGCTGGCAGGCGCAGGCCATCACACAGGATCACAAGCTTTACCCGCTCACCCTGGCAGACAACATTGGGTTGGGGGCACCAGAGCACGCCAATAACCTCAACATGATTGCGGACTCAGCCAGGGATAGGAGAGCTGGCGCAGTTGCACAAGTTCAAAGACGGGATCCAGACCACCTCAAAGCCCAACACAACAGCGATTGGACATCAGTTAGATGACGATGCACACAAGTCGTTCAAAAGAGTCCTCGGGAAGCTGTAGAAGACGACCGAGGTGTCTGGTATGCACATAGATCATTCTCGAACGCGCTTTCTAATGTCAACTCAGGTGGAGAGAAGCAGCGGCTTGTCGCGTTCGTACCATCGATCTTGCTTTTTTTTTTTTCTGTTTCCGAAGCGGAGCGCAGTCACGAGCCTATAGATGTGCAGTACTTACATAAGGGTTACTGGGTTTCGCGCTGAAAGGGCTGGCTGCGAAACAGGTGCACGATGTGGCCCAGGACCAGTCATGACGTTGGCACTTTAGCTCAGTGGTTAGAGCACTTCTCATGAAGTAAAGAGGTCGCAGGTTCAATTCCTGCAAGAGCCATTTCTTTTGGATCATTTCGACCCTTGACAAATCACATGCTTATTAGCGCATAACTAATTGCAATACGCGATGGGGAATGACGGGCTGGAGCTGTACAAAAAGAGTGGAGACTAAACGGTTAACACCGTAGTACTCATAGGCTCCGCGCATCTGCGCTGGTTTCTCAACTCATCCAGAAATTTAACTAACCTTCCTCTGACGCCCACTGTGTGAACCTCCAGAGCCTTCAAGTCTGAATCAGTCAAATTCAACATATTGCCCCATGAAATGCCTTGGAAGCAATTGTTATACTTGTGGAGCCTTTTAGAACGCAGCCAGGACTGAATGTCTGGCAAAGGACATCCAAGCATATCCAATTCAATGGTGGGGCCTGTGGATACCCCAATTGAAATGCTCGGTGGGGGTGTCACTCCACAGGCAATCATAGCCTGCCAGAACTTCAACAGATTGTCTCGCCGTTCTCCATCGAGATGAAAGGAGCTGTTGGGATGGTCGCGTGACAGAGAATAACATGACATGGCTCAGAGAACCTACCAATTCGCATACCCATAATAGCGCACAAGATAGCCTTCAATACATCCAGACAGAATCAAAGGCTGCAAATGCCGGCAACGATGCGCAGCAACGTTGTTTTTTTGGAGTCCGAGCCATCTGGGGAAACAATTTAATCTTTAAGTACTGAGTCATGTATAAATACGTTTTCGCGGCGTCGTCGTGCACTAACAGATCTAACGAAGGTAATTTGGCTAGATTAGCGCGATTTCTGGGCTCCTGCGCCGGCTGTTGGGTGGATGCTGCGTGCACGAATTCGAAGGCTTCGGACAATGTGAGTGTTTCCGCTTGCCCTGATCCATAGACATACTCGAGCCCTGCTTTGAGTGACGGCTCGGACACAACATGTGCATCGCCAACGTCTGTGTCGTCCGTTCCGATGTCGGGCACGTCGTAGGACTGGATGTCTTTTGGATTTGCATCAAGTTTCAAGAACGGCGGGATTTCATCAATAAGCCGTTCTGCCTCTGTCCGACGATGATGTGGAGGAGGAGCAGGAGGAGGTGAAAGAGGATATGATGAAAGAGATGAACCAAAAGACGACGACCTCGTGCGCGGAGCGGTGAGTGGATCCTTAGGAGGATCATTCTTGTTTACACTCTCATGATCCTGCACCAGGGGCAACGGGGTATAGACCGATGGAACCGGTGCCGGGGTAGGTGATGCGTCTGGAATTCTAGTGTTGTTTCCAGGGAAGTACCGCTCGTCGAAGTCAGCACGATCACTGATGACTTCTTTCTTCGTCTCGGGGTGCCAGAAGAGCCATCCTGGATACTCCTGGGGGTAGCCAAGGAATACACACTTCTTTGTGTGTGAAGACAGTCCACGGTGTTTGGACAGTTCAGCAGCAGGAATCTGCACTCATTCGCCCAGCTGCGATGGTCTGTCTCAACTTTTCGTTGATACCGCATTTCTTATCTCCATTAGGTTCATGGGGTGCTTGTACGGGGCTTGGTTTTTCTTCTGGCATCACACTCATCCAGGTAGGAAGATAAATGTGGGTGAGATGTTGCCGTCATCTTACGATGAAGGCAGTGTTTTCGCGGCTTTCACGAGCAAACTTGAAGGTGGGTGGTGGCGTTGGCGTCATGAAAGCGACCATGCGCTAACTTTGCAGCGTGAAGGCAGGGTTTGTCGCCGCCGTCAAAAGGATTAAGATAGTTGAACATTGTATGTATCCTGGAGGGTCGAGATGAGAGTGCAGAATCAAGGACGAAGGCAGAATGTAGCCCAGATAAAGGCAAAAAGTTGGAAGAACATCATATGAAATATGAAGGTTAGATGAAGACACAAAGCCGAGAGAATACGTTTCGGCTGACTGTCGGTCAGTAACAAATGCCGTGTAACTGAATCTGAAATTTTAAATGCCGTGCAAGAAACGGTTGAATCGAATCGACAGCAATGCGAGGAGCTACTGCAGATAAGTACGTGGACCCTCTTCTCAGCAAATATGAATATTTGTAAACTGCCCACCAGGCCGCGAGGAGCCAACCGAAGGTTGGTGACGAGCGGCGTCTTCAGTGTACTGATGATATTAATCAAACTCAATCTCGCAACTTTTGACCGTGAGCAGATTCCCTAGCGTAGCGCGGGCAAACTGCTAGTACATAAATAGAGAATTTGCTGGATTCTGCGAGGACCCGACGCAAAGGGGGGGCTACCAAAATCAAACCCCCTGATTGTCGGATGATGCCGGCTTGAGGGGGAGTTAGGCAACCCGACATCATTCCCGAAGGAATCACCCCGAGTCACTAGGAGCCAGCTGTAGAACACCGGAAAACATTGGAGAATGTGGAAGAATATTCTGGTTAGTTTAGCCACAGAATCTTTGTATTGCGCAAGTGTTTCCAGAGCTTGGACAAGCAAATATTATCTCGGATTCTACCGAAACTATGTCTGATTCCATAAGAAATTACAACAGGGCCGCGCCAGGGATGTCGGCATCGGGTATCATACTAGCGGAACTTAACGTGTGCCGCGGCTGCCGTTTCGTTTGGTTGTAACCTCTAATATCCTACTTCAAATATTCAGAGCTTGGACCGCGCCAGGGATGCTATTGAGACGTAACGTGCGCGGGTGCCGTTTCCTTTCGTTTCAGTTATTGCCCATCAGGACCGGCACGTAAATCGTATAAAAGGCAGCATCGAACTCATTGGAGGGCGCCATTCCCCCCTAACTCGAGATAACGATGGAACCGGTGCCGGCGACGCTCCATAGCCACCAGGAATTTGTGAAACACGTTCTGGACAGGAGTTGGAAGCACACGGGACTCCTCATAACCATCCAGCTATTCCATCTGAAAGAAGGAATAGACAGACTGGTGACGGTCGAGTCTAACTTGCCTCTCGATTCTTAATCCAGGACAGGTTTTGAAAAAGGGTACTATAAAGTCACCTACGGGTTCGAACGACACTACGACAATTCTGAGGAACACTGGCAGTCGCTTTGGGGCGTATTCTGTGCGGATAATCACACCATCAAGACCGGCGGGCTTGTAGCCCAGTGTCGGTATTCACGCCACGACCCACCCGTCATCATCCTGGAATCTTCGCAGAAGAAATTCAATTTGGTTGGATACAGTGATCCCTCATCGCAAGGGATTTTCACAACGGAGTGGCCAGCCAAACTCCAATGCCAGTATTTTGTGATCGACTTCGCCAGGAGTGTACGCTCACGCTGGGCAAACAAGGTAACAGTCCTTCCTCGGGAACATCCAGATTCCATTTCGTGTCTGAACATTCATTAACGAAGGGGAGTGAACGAGTCGCCACCGATGAGAAATCGCAGCCAGGTGAGGATACTGTGAAATGGACGGTGGGGAGCCTGGAAGAACTCTTCGGAGCGCTGCCCGAACAAATAGCCACCGAGGTGGCGGGGAATGTGGAAGATGTATTAGCAGTCTTGATCCTGGCCATGTGGAATTTGTAAACTGTGATAAGGCGTGTTTCTATCACGCCTGAATTTGTTGATTTTTTTGACTGCATTGAAGTACTGTATCATGTCAACCAAGTGTTCAGCCCACGTCACGCGTCACAGGTTAATCGGACGACTACAGCTAGTTTTGATGGCCCGACCTCGGCATCGGCTTCAAAACGTGCTGCAGTGCGGCAAGATCATAGGGGCAACGAGATGTGACTTAGCGTGACATCAGCATGAAATCCTTCACTTGGGCTCCCACGGTTAGTGTTGCCGCGGTCAGGTTCTGAACCGCTGGCGAACCTGAACCGAACCTGAACCGGACCAAAAGTCCGGTTCGGTGGCTGTGAGGTTCGCTGAACCGAACCCAAGGTTCAGTTCAAGGTTCAAAAAATTTCAGAATTCTGTGAACCTTGCTGAACCTGTTCGAACCCATTCGAACCTCTTACTTGGAGTAGCCCAGTTGCGGAGAAAATTCCGTTTCAACCACCATTTGATCTTCAAGTTTGAACTGGCCGCCAGTGTAACTTACTGTGTAAGTCCTTTCAACAATGTTCTGATTGACAATTCCATTTTACACTGAGGGTAAATCTGCTCTTTTGATAGTATTTGTGCATTTTGTAACCCAATTGTCACTTTTCTTTTCCACAGGAAAATGTTTGGTCGGAAGTCTAAGCTCAAGTGCAAGTGAAGAGTGTCGAAAAAAAAATATCTGGCTAATTGAAACTGGTACGAAGGACCCCAATACTTATCATGGTCACAGTACCCACAAAATATCAAAACAGGTCAGCGTTACTTGGGAAGGCGGTATGCTCGGGTATATTGGTGGGTGGGTGGTTTATTTTGCTGTAAACTCGCGCTGCAAACGTTCTTTTTTCATGATTAAAGCCGTGGGAAATAAAAATCGGTTCGAACCCGTCCGAACCTCCTCTGAACCTGGACCGAACCTCGCCGAACCTGAACCTGAGGTCCAGTCCAAGGTTCAATAATTTTGCTGAACCGAACCCGAGGTCCATTCTGGGGTTCAGAAAAATTAGGCATTGAACTGGACCGAACCGGACCGCGGCAACACTACCCACATCAGGAAAAAGCCTACAGAAATTTGCAGCCCGGTTAAATATGTCGTTGAACATAGCGCATGGTAGACAAGGGCTTGTGTATGTAGCCGCTGTTGTCGCCGTAGCACCAAGCGAGGTTTATATAGGGCATCATTGATTGCGCGCTGTTGAGATGTCGCACTATCCCTTCAAGTGCCAAGACCAAGTTGGATACATTGCTCTGCCCTATCGCGATGTTGGACTATTTCCCTCAGTGCCAATGCTACAATGCTAATATTGACATGTGTCCCGAATTCTGTTCTCTGGTTCCGGAGAGGTATTTTCCGAAGAGTTCAAGTGAAGATCAGGAGATACCAACCAGCGAGTTGCAGTGAGCACTTGAGGATTGTTTCAAAATATGATTGCGTAAGCCAGGTTGCACATTATGATGCTCCAGGACATATGTACCCTTTACGATTCACGTTCAGGTGAGAG